TAGATGACTGGATAAAGATGTGGTATATATACACAATGGAATACTACTCAGCCATAAAAAGGAATAAAATAATGCCATTTGCAGCAACATGGATGGACCTAGAGATTGTCATACTAAGTGAAGTAAGCCAGAAAGGGAAAGAAAAATGCCATATGATATCCCTTATATGTGGAATCTGGAAAAAAGAAAGGACACCAATGACCTTATATACAAAACAGAAACAGACTCACAGACATAGAAAACAAACTTATGGTTACCAGGGCTTAAAGGGGGTGGGAAGGGATAAATTAGGAATTTGAAAATTTCACCTCTTGGGGAGTGACAGAAATGTTAGTTATCGTGATTGTGGTGGTGGTTTCATGAGTGTATACATGTATCAAAATTCATCAAATTGTACATCTGAAATATGTGCAGTTTACTGTATAGGAACCATACTGCAATAGAGATGTTTAAAAAAAATCACCCTCTTAAGGGATGATGGTGGCCTGAATTAAGGTGGATGAAGTAGGGATGAAGAAGAAAGGACAGGTTCAAGAACTACTTGAAAGATTGGTGATTGCTGGAAATGTGAGACTGAGGGAGAAAGGAAGGAGCCAGGTGTTCAGCTTGGGTGACCAGGTAAGCAGTGGTGCCACTGATTAAGGCAGATTATGCAATGTGGAGGGAGAGACTTAGGGGAATTGGTTAGTTCAAATTTGGACCTGCTAAGCTCAAGGTGCCTCAAGCACATAAGCCCAAGCAGAGAGGTCCATCAGGCACTTGGATGGATGGATGGATGTAAAGTTCAAGGGAAGAGGCAGGGATGCAGACACAGATTTGGAACTCACCAGCCTATAGACAGTACTTGAAACCATGAGATAACTTGACATCTCCCAGGGAGAGGACGTGGAGTGACAAGAAAAACAGGAGCTACCAGCTAGAGGAAGAGGATGATGACAATGACAATGATGGAGCAGGCATATCCAAATAGGCAGAAGGGAATCAAGAAAACTGGTACAGAGGAGTCACGGAAACGCAGAGTGCCTGGAGGAAGCAGCAAAAAAAATCCATTGACAAGACGCCAGAAAAAAATGCCCTGTAGACTTGCCTAAGAGGCGACATTAGCAGGACAGTTTTAGCCACATGTCTCAGACTAGAATGGAGAAGTCAGAGAGGGATGGAGGAACTGACTTAGGAAAGGGGGAAGATCACCTTATCAGAAGTTGGGGAAGAAATAGAAGACGGAGGTGGATATGTTTAATAAGTTTCTAGGGAAAGGAGATACAAAGTTGACTGAGGTCAAGTGTGATGGCCCTTCCCAGCCTCCTCCACATTGACTACATGAAGTTGGGTGGATTCTATGGGCCAAAAATGAGAAGCACCCATTTCCCCTTCCTTACTTATTCCCTTACTCTAACTGGCTTCTAGCTGAGTGGCATCCAGACAGAAGCAGAAGCGCGCTAAGGTGATTAGCTAGGAACACAGGGTATAATCGGAAATCCATTGTGCAAACAAGTGTCTGTTTGATTTCTCTCCACTTCCTCTTGTATATTAAGCTTCCTTTTGATCAGCGTTTGATTTCTGGTAGTAAATATGGCACCAACCATATGGCACCACAATCTGGTTGATTGTGAGGATGAAATGTGAGAGGTAATGGGTGCAAAGCACTCAGAGTGTCTAGCGTGTGCGGCATTCAGGACATAACGCTATTGTTTACAGAGAACTGTTTCATGAAGGAGAGACTGCTCGAAGGGTTTACATTGTGGGTGGTGGTGGCCGAAGGGCCTTCTTTCACCATTATTTGTGCTAAATCTGACCTGCGCCCAACCAGTCTGGCGCCTGCCTGGGAGGTTCGCTCCGGTCATCCCTCTGCACCAATCGTGGAGAGCCACATGGGTGGGAAACTGCCATAAAAGAATGGCATTCCCACGGCCAGAGCAGGAGGAATGCTCTGCGTTCTCGCCCCAAGGTAAGTCCTGCTTCAACCCCCAGCAGGCTCTCTCCTGACCCTGGGGGCCTCCCCTGACTCTTGGCCCACAGGATTTGCTAGGGATGTTTGAGTCTGGAAGCTCTCAGAAGCCAGCAAGGACCCTGGTTCTTGTCAAGGGCTCCAGATATCACTCCGTGTTCAGGTCAGTCATGACTCCAGCCCCCTGCTGGCTGCTCCAGGTCTAAAGATGCCCCCTCACCCTTGACTCTGGACACCCCACCAGGACGACAGGTCTCTACTGGGGATCTCTCCTCTTGGAATTACCTGTCCTGGGTGCTCTGTCCTAACATGAAACAGACCTCTCCCTCCAACTGAAGTCTTCCAGAGGCTGTGAGAAGTTATCCAAAGGTTTTCCCATTTGAGAAAAGAGCTTCCCAGAAAAGGAAGTGTTACTCGTTGGAGTGTTGGCAGGCTCTTCACAGCTCTATGTTTCCACCTGCCCCCCTCCCCATTTATTATTCATTCATCCCTCAGCCTGTTATTGAGCACCTCTTGTGTGTCAGACACTGTGGTGGGAGCAAGCGATGGGCTCAGTCTGACGTGGCCTCACCCTCCCGGAAATCTGCACACACAGAGGACACTTCTGGGCTAAGAGCAACCCAGTGTCAGATGCACTGAACTCAGAAAGGGAAGCTGTTCCTTTTGTCTGCAGGTATTCATGGACCATAACCCTCCCCTCCACCCAATCTCCAACAGTCTCTACCTTGACCTGAGTAGGAGCTGACCTGAGATCTTCCAGGACATTCTGCAGTCCTGGCTGGCTCTAAGCTTGATTTTTTTTTTGTTTGTTTTCTTGCTGTCAATCTCATCCCTTTGGCAAGTCTCCTCCTCCTGTTTACCACCGCTTTCCACAAGTCGTGCCTGCTTTAAAGCAACACGAAGGAAGGGAGGAAGTCATTGGTGCATTTCTGAGAACATGGGCCTGAGCAAGCTCTTTCACTTCCAGCCCAGGGCTTGCACACAGGAGGGGCTTAGGAAATATCTCTGGGTTTAGTCTCCTCTGAGTCTCAGGTTCTTCATTGGTAAAATGGGGACAATAATAATACCTTCCCTGGAGGGTATTTCGGAGCCTTCAATGAGCTAACGTATGCAAGGGATTAGTACAAGTTATGGTGCTGATCATATCTGGGTCTTTCCCTTCGCCCCACTGCGTGGAGGGTCTGCAGGCTGCTGAGTGACCCACGAAGCTCATGGAAAGGATGGCTTACGTCCTGTGGCTGGCTTTGGCCTACTGCGTTCTGACTCTGGCATCTACAGAGCAGCGAGGTAAGTGCTCTGCTCACCTGATCTCAGATGCCCTGCAATAGCTGGAGAGTGAGCAGGGAAGTGCAGAGAAGGTGATTCAGGGTCAGTGGGGAGACAGGGGCATGACCACAGTGGAGATTCAGAAGCCAGAAGTCAAGGGAAGCAAGAGGAGAGAAACTGGAATCCAGTCACAGTGTCTCAAAGAGCCAGATGAGAAATGCTCCCTCGGAGGACAGTGGGAGCCAGTTAGCACAACCTCTCACGACCAGATACAGGGTAGATCCAGAGCCTGGATTCATGAGGACACGATTTGCCCAGTCACTCTGTGCCTTGTTTTGGCAAGCGCCTCTCCTTCCTCCAAATAAGTTGCTCATCTGTAAAATGAAAGGACTGGATTTCGTGATCTCTCTATGGTCCTTTCAGAGATCCATGGGCTGGGCATCTTAGATACTTGTAGGAAGGATTCTCAGGCTCAACACTAGGGTGAAAATTTCTGCCCATGTCCCCTGTGGAGGGGGGCTGGAGGGACTCAGCTCATGGCCTCCCTTGGAACTAATCCAAGAGTAACAAGGGTGGTGATTTCTTGCCTTAAAACAAGCATGTACATAAGTAAGGCCTGAAAAATCTCTGTTTCTAAAAAGTCCCTCTAACATGACCCCAGCTTTATGCGGGCGGACAGAAGCCTAGCAATCGGTGCATCCCTGCTGGGGACACGCACACCTATTAAATGGCTTATGCATCCAGAAAAAAGAAAGAAAGGAAATGTGATGTGATCCTGGTACTTGCACTTAATTCATCATTCAGGCACTCACACTATTCAGCACGCCAGAACTAGAGAAGGGAACTAGTTTGAACTCCTAGGACCCAGGGACTGTGATTGGCATTTTTTACCTAGTATCTTATTTAATCTTCTCACAGTTCTTTAAAACTTTAGGGGTATGCGTATCCCAAGATGACTATGGGAGTGAGTTGCAAACTTAAAGAAGATTTTGATAGCTATATACTTTTTTCAGTGGGTATTAAAAATATAACTAGCACATCATACCTATGGTATCAGAGATAGCATTCCTTAGGGTGCAATGAATTTATAAAGAGAACCATTGAAAGAACCATGAAATAAATAGCAGGATAGGTGGACACAGGTGTGGCAAACATCATGACCTGCGGCATGAGAATGGAAAATGTTTGGAAGTCACTAGCTTGCAGCTGTTGTTTTGCAGTTGAGTCTCAGGGGAGTTGAACCATACGACAAGGTCACCCAGTCAGCAGGTGCAGAGCTGGGTTTAACCCAGACTGACCAGCCTGTGGTTTCCTCTGCTCCCACCTTCCCACCCCCACTTTACTTCTCTGCCTCCTCGCACATCACAGTCCCTGATTCTGTCAAAAGCCATGAGATCAGACATCAGAAATGGTCCTATTAGACTAGTGCTCTCATTTAAGGATGATTTTGCTTTCAGGGGACAATTGGCAATGTCTGGCGATCCCTTTGGGAGGAGGGTAGTACTGGCATCTAGTAAGAGCCTAAGGAAACTTTTGGGCATCCTGTAGTGCACAAGGCTGCCCCCTAACACGGAATTATCCAGCCCAAACTTCAGTAGTGCCAAGGCTGAGAAATCTTATGTTTGATCTTCATCTACTGATAGTGGAAAAATGTTTATGATGTTAAGTAAAAAAAAAATACAAGTGGAAAAAAAACTGTATAGCATTAAACCCACTTTTATTTTTTTTTGAAGTGTTTAAACAAATGCATAGAAAGGGTCTGAAGACTGTACAACAAATTTATGGTATGCAGAAATGACAACTTTTGTTTCTACTTTATTCATTTGAACGACCTTTGAGGCTATGTTACATTTATAATGAGAAAAACAAATATTGGTCAGGCAGGACCGCAGTGTATGGTTGCACAGGGGAGCACTGCACAACTCCAGGGCAGCACCCCCCCACCGCCTCCCCTGCCAAGCTCAGCGTGAATGATGCCCCCTAGATCGTGCAGGGTGGGGACCCTGATGTTCTCAGTGCCTGTAAATTTCCACACAAAGGCTTCATTATTATTCTGACCCTAAGGTGTTGAAGGCTGATATTTAATTAACACAGAGTGGATAGCGTGCCTCTGGTCCTCATTAGGGCCCTGAGTCCTTCCCAGACAGATGTGTAGAAGGATAAAAATCCTGCAGGTTCTGGGGTTCCTCCGTAAATCCAAGCATACCGTTCCTCTCCAGGTTCCGGAAACCCCACCAACGCCCGTTCCTATGAGAAGGACTTGGACTGTGGATCCCTGGGCCCCTCAGAGACCCAGCTCTGTTTTGACCCCTGCCAGAATTACACCCTCCTGGACGAACCTTTCCGAAGCAAGGAGAACACGGAGGAAGGGCAGAGCTGTGACATGGACAAGCACGGCTGGTACCGCTTTGTGGGCAATGGAGGAGTGAGGATGCCGGAGGACTGCGTCCCTGTGTTCCGGTGCCAGACGGCTGCTCCCATGTGGCTGGAAGGCACCCACCCCACCCTGGGGGAGGGCATCATCAACCGCACAGCCTGTGCCCACTGGAGCGGCAACTGCTGCCTCTGGAAGACTGACGTGCTGGTGAAGGCCTGCCCGGGCGAGTACCACGTGTACCGGTTGGAGGGCACCCCCTATTGTGATCTGGGATACTGCACAGGTGAGTGGCAGAGACCTACCTGGAGGCAGCGGCGGGGCCACCCAGCGAAGGGCCCAGGGGTCAGTGGAGTGAGTGGAGCGGGTCAAGGGGAGACTAAGCAGAGCCGCTTCAGCTCAGCTCCAGCCAATTACTGCCCAGTGGGAATATTGCCCACGGGGCTGCCAGTATTTCAAGTCAAGCCAGAAATTCAGACTCAAAGGTGAAATCTCCTGATAGATCTATCCCTGTGCGTAGCACAAGATTTAGAACTCGGACTCACTTAGATTTCGATTTCAAATGAGCAGTTTAATTTAACTCTCTTAGCTTTGGTTTTCTGACCTGAAAACATGGACAATGGCTAATGCATTCATGTCCCAGCTCTAAGCACTTTAAACCTTTAACTCATTTAATTTGCTCACCAACTTCAGAAGATACATACTATATAATTAGTCTAGACGAGAGGCCTGGGGGACAGAGAGATTAAGCAGTTCCCCAATATCCAAGATTTAGAAAGTGGTGGATCCAGATGTGAACCTAGCACCCCAGCATCACGATCCAGATGCTTAACCATTAAGCGACCCTACCGCATGCGGTTGCCATGGGAACTGAATGAGCTGATGCGTGGAAAGTACTGGAAACAGCATCTGCCTTGTAACAAGCACTAAGATGGCTGCTCTGGGGTTCTCACCTGACTAGACTGGGATTCATGAAATTCGAGTTTGGGGCTTGATTCTTCCACCAAGTACGGCACGACCTCAGGCAAGACTTCGTGTCCCGTAGAATGACAAAAGTTGGCTTTGAAGGCCTCCGGTCTGCCGTGCTCTGCATCCTTATCCTCTTCCTCCACGCCTCACCCCAGATCCTGCCACTGTCACGCCCACGACCACGCCCTCGCCCACGACCACGCCCTCGCCCACGACCCACACCCCCCGCCCACGACCACGCCACGCCCCCGCCCACGACCACGCCCGCACCCCCACCCCCACCCACGACC